CGTGTAGAAGGAATAAAGAACTTCCAAGTATACGAGGTTTTAAATCAAAAGTCAAATTAAAGTATGAGACTGAAAAATACATCTGTACAAAAAATAATAGTGTAGATGTTTAGGAAGAAGTGGGCAATATAAATACTAGAAGTAGTTGAATAACTTAGAATATGTCAGGCTCAAATAGGTGTGACTTTGCTATGTAAACTGGTTCGTAGTGTGTGTACGTGAGTGAGTGTGAATTAGTTGTGTTAAACCGTAAGTCCTGTTTATGTATAGTAAAGTAGTAAAGTATTGTAACGAAAGTCGTGTAAATAGTTTTGTGCATTGCAATAAAAAAAAAAAAAAACCTGAAACTGCGTTTTGCGGTTTGCCGTTAACACGAAAACGCTGTTGCTAAATGTCTCTAATGTCTCCAAATAACTTAAGATCGGGAATTACCTTGAGTATGAGGCCTATATGGATGATTAACTCTATTGACCTTCTCCAGTCTATACTCATTCGGTATGTTTTTATACTATTCTGCTGTATATTTTTAACTTAAAGTAATCTTACCAAAGTAACTTTGGTTTAGTTGTTTAAGATTATCACGGGAACCACTGAAGTCTAATAAAAAGTCAGTCATTGCCATAGCGATGATTTTTCCTTTAATAAGTGCGATGCTGTATATTTTGTTATTGACATTGTATACCAAGGATTTCGACAGTTTCCTTTTCAAGATGATTTAAGAGTGAAAAAGAAAAGCGACACTGCAGAATTGAATGGTGTAATTAAACCAACAGAGTGTGAACAACGTCAAGATTTAAGCCATATGAAACAGAGAAAAAAAATAACGATTTCAAGGTGCAATACGAAAGCAAATAGGAGAGGCCAATAAATAAGTCACAGTTGAATTAACCAGCTACTTCGCTAATCAGGACAAAAAAGATAACATATAGCAAAAGTATGACATGATCTGATGAGTTTTCTCTCTCAAATGCTAAGTTGTAAGTTCATGCTGGCTGATGAGAAACGCACTTCTGATCTTAAACCACCTTGTTGTCATGGTAACCTAGAATGTGAGAAGCATATGCATTAAGAACTTCTAATGGTTGCATATGCGATGAGTTTTGTCGAGGTCCTGGTCGTGGTTCTTCTCTTTAGGTGAGTCTGTTAGTGGACCGTTGGGTGGAAGTAGCTATAATAGTTAGAGGGAATGTGATTGATCAAGGCGTCCTTGGCATCACTGACATCTATGAGCTCTCAGATTATGTTACCTGTTATCAGCTCATTCATCCCTACTGGCGACAGTTTGACTTAACGTCGCGAAATACCGTTTATTTTGTCATCTTGTCGTCGTTACATCTTCTCTTATTTGCTATTCTCCACAGGGCTAGTTCCTTTCAGTAATTTCTGTCTCTCTCTCTCTGTAGCGCGTACTGAGCTGTGCTTACATCTTTGGAATTCTGGATTGCTTGAGGACTTATATATATATTGTCTTATTGATCTTCACTCCTCCAGGGCCCCTTTCTCGAAAGCCCGGTAACTTCTCGGGCGCGCGAAGCCATTTTTGCTTAATCTGTGTCTAAAAACGAGAGGTGTTTTCGCCTGACACTTCACTGAATATGTGAATAAAATAGCTCCATAATCATAAGGTTTGGGATTTTTGCTATGGCTTTCCGGGTGCGAAAACGTTTCGGAACCTTCGAGAAACGGGCCTCAGCTGGTCACCCGACTCGCAATTGGCAACCAGTTTCGCCAAGACGCTAATTTCACGTCCCAGACCATCTAACTCAACCGAGGCAAATTTTGGTCCAAGTTTCTCGTTCCACGATTCTCTTCACTAATATAAAGTTTGTTTGATCAGCAGCATATTACTATTCAACGTGGCGAGCAGGTGAACAAACATAGCGAGCCACAATTTTATATCTGTTTAATTAAGATTACGAAATAACCTGATCGTTTGTTTACAAATGCGAAATCAGAAAAAAATGCCGTCATTCTTACACGTTGACACTTAAAGTCACATTTTTGAATTACTGGTTTTCAGTACTTTTTAATTAAAAGTGCTTAAAACATCAGTAGTATAATTTATTCTCTAACAACAAAAGACTACTATTTATTGGATATAACAGATAAATGTCAATTTCTTATTTAAAAAAGTCCAACCTTGTGTAAATGCAGAAGCCAGTCCTTTTGCTCTTGACTAAATACGGCTTGTAAACGTTACCGAACATGGCAGCTTAAATGGAACTGTTGAAAAACAAAGAAAAATTTCATCATTAAACAATAAAAGTTGTATCTCATGTTGAATTTTGTAATGCGAAGATATCTACGAAAACTTTTTCATGGTGATCAAAAAGAAGGAATAGAAAAGTGAAACTACAGACATTAAAGTTGAGAAAAATCTACAAAGTGTAAATAACGCCACCTTTCAAGTTATGCAAACAAAAAGGATTAAGTCCACACAAAGCCTGAGAAATTTGAAAACAGCGAAACGCATGAAATGTTTTCCGTTCACACTACGCCGGAGAAATTTGAAAACGGCGTTTTCATTCTGAAAACACATCAAATGTTTTCCGTCGCAGAAATTTTAAAATGCAATAATCACCAGTCATTTTGGATTTTTGTTTGAGGAAGACTCGAACTGGGAATTCACATTATTGTGGCGTCATCGTTTTCGAAAAGCTTCGTTTTCAAAATGTTTTCCGTTTACACTAACACGCAAAGCCGACATTTTCAAATTCCGCCGGTTTGAAGAGGGTTTAGGTAAAGCTCCGTTTTCGTGACGGATTAGTGTGGAAGGTAGGCCTGACGGTAACCGTTGAAATAAAGCCGCGCTTTTAAATTTCTCCGGCGTAGTGTTGACGTGGCCTAAAAGACGCATATGAACGCGAATGGAAAAAAACACAAGCAATCTAAGCAATAGTTGAAAGCCATCTTTGTATGTCTAAAGCAAAACTTAATAATGAAAATGTCAAGAAGAAAAGTCATTCGTTTCAAGTGTATTTTTATTTTGTGTCTAGATATAAGCAAATTGTTAATTCGCGGCTACGGTCTTCACATTTAGGGAGTAAAATTCCATTACGGTAATGCCAACATAAGAGCTGGCGAATAATCATGCTATCAACGGAAGGAAAGAATTTGTGTGCTATGGGAGTAAGATGCGAGATTCCAGTATAAGGTTATCAGCATTTGATTCGTTTGCAGAGAAGAGTATTTCAGTTGATGCTTGCGGAGGATTAACACATTTAAAACGAGGGGTGTAAGAATAATTGTAATTGGAACTTCAACAAAATGGCCTTGAAGTCTTAACACCCCCAAAACATCTGAGTGCTACTGCTGTACACATTTGACTGCGTTTTACATTTAATTCATTGACTCTGGCGAGCCCCTTCGTTCAAGGATCGGACAGTCAAGAAGTACTCAGCTGATCGATTTGTAAAAGTACCACGAAATTACGTTTTCCCATTACTTGTAAAGTTTTAGTTACTTACTGAAACCACATCACGTAAGAGGCTGTTAATCAAAACATTCTCTACTTTAAGAATTATTATAATTTGTCTTTTGCTGCGCTAAGTAGGAATATGAGAGATTTTAATTGATATTCCTACTCGCTCCTTTTGCCAACAACATAAGCAATACAAAATCAATACGACATAATCTAGAGAAGTTTTAACAATGCAGTTTGTCTGTTTTTACTGGCAAAGGTCTATAATTTTCTTTCTTTTTTTTGTTTAAAATTTCCACCTGCAGTCAGAAGTTAAATCATAAACCCAGAAAGTATATGTAGAAATAGGGGAAGTAACCAACACAAGGCAGGAAATGGCTGGAAAGAAAAGGCAAGACTCTCGGCTGAATATAATTGATCGATATCAACATCATAGGGGGTAAATACGAATCCACTGCTGCTGAACTACAAAGTCAAAAATCAAAAATAGTTTCTCATCAAAACAGGAACATTACAGGAAATTTATTGGGCTCCGAGTAATCGATAGGGGAAGCTAAGTTTTTCTAGCATGTGTGTTGCGTGCTTCATTAGGATGCCAAATACAACAGCACGGAGGGTAGGGAGTATATCAGTAATCAACTGCATTATATATATTTCATTGTAGGAGAACAGATATTTTATTAACTATTCGAAATCACACTTGACTGTTGGACAGCTGCTTTTTGACGCTCTTTTGATATTAATTGAAGATTATTTTCTCCTGTGTTCGTTTGTGTGAAAGATGCTCCAACGGAAGCGTTAAAGCGATCTATATCAACAATTACATTTGGTTATTATTTAGTGACATCTGAGGCCAGGGGGGTATTACATGCGGGTAGGTGTTCAAGAATTCTTAGTGAAAATAACATTGTGATGTATTCAATTTAACAATAACTTAGGCAGAAATAAAACATTTCAGTAAGGATAGATTCGCGTTAGTCCGCAACATTTTATTTGTATAATCCATTTGATTTAGATTTCCGAAACCACCGTTGATTCTTTTGTACAATACTTCTGGTAGATTACACGAAAATAACCTTTGCGACCCTCTTTTAAGAGCATCTCTATGACTTGGAAAATTAAAGTTGCGTGCTAAAACTGCCTCACATGGATGGTTGTTGTTCAAAACAATGTCTGCTAAAAGAATTAAACATGCCAAACACGAAGAAAATAAGAGATCTTTTCAAATTGACATTCCATATTGTAGATTTTGTCAACAACGTCATCCATACCAAAACAGTACATGATACATGCCACAATAGCGGAACAGTTTTAACAATAGCGGCTGTATTATTTCTCGATGGTTGCAATTTTATCGAGGTCGGAAGGGTGGGTGTATAATTTAGTCCAAACTAAAACAAAAAGTCCACCTGCATGCAATCAGAATAAAACCCCATATAAACCTGAACAGTAAATATAGAGGTAGAAAACTTGACCAAAAAAGTTAGGAAATGACTGGAAAAAAGAAAAAAAAACTCTCGCCTTTACATGACTGATTAAAATGGAAAATAAAAGGTCAATACGAACCTAGTGCTGCCGAACTACGGAGAGAAATTATTTAGTCTCTCATCAAAACAGGAACATTCTAGGAAGTTTAATGGACTACCAATAATCAGTAGGCGAAGTTAAGTTTCTCTAGCGTGTGCAAGTTGCGTGCTGCTTGGGATGTCAAACTCAATTAACAGCACCGTGTGTAGCGAGTATGTCAGTAATAAACTGCATTATCTATATTTCATTGTAAGAGAAGAGGGATTTAATTTACCTTTCAAAAATTAAGCATGACTGTTGGACAGGTGCTTTGTGGTGGTCAGTTGATATCAATGGACTGAGTTTGTTTTCCCCTTTGATCTTTTGTGTGATCTGTTTATTAGATTACCACGATCTATATCACGAGTTGCATTTGGTCACCATTTAATGATACCTGAAGCCAGGGTGGTGTTATATGTGGGTAAGTTTTTGCGAATTCTTAAAACAAAGAGAACTTAAAATTGTTTTAGTGGTAATAGCATTGTGATATACTCCCTGTAAGAATAACTAAAGCAGAAATGAATCATTTCAGAAGGATAAAACTACAGATGCGTGTTAGCCTGCAGAATCATTCATTGCTTTATCCATTTGATTTAGGCGTCCGGAAGATCATTTGATTCTGTTGTACAGGGCAACTTGTTCCAGTGTGACATACTAGATAGGTTGACCGGGTTGTTCAAAGCCCGATTAAGCTAACGTAGGATTAGCGAAAATTTTGGTTTCAGTTTTATAACTTTTCGGTGAGGTTTTCTGTTTACATTGTTTGTCCTCCAGTTTTCAAACTACGTAAGACACAAGCAGCGGAAAACATTTTTATACATGTTTAATTAATATCTCGGTTAACTTCAACCGTAGTGTTGACGGGGCCTAAAAGATGCATATGAACGGGAATGGAAAAAAAAAAAAATCGGTAGTCTTAGCAATAATTGAAAGCCATCTTTGTATGTCCAAAGCAAAACTTAATAATGGAAAATTTCAAGAAGAAAAATCGTTTGTTTCAACTGTATTTTTACTTTGTGTCTAGATATAAGCAAATTGTTAATTCGTGGCTACAGTCTTCTCTTTTAGGGAGTTAAATTCCATTACAGTAACGCAAACATAAGGGCTGGCGATTATGGTTGTAACGGAAGGAGAAAATCGCAAAAGTGTGCTAAGGATGCCAGATTCCAGTATAAGGTTATCAACATTTGATTCGTTTGTAGTGAAGAGTCTTTCAGTTGATGCTTGCGGCGGATTAACACATTAAAACGAAGGATGTAAGAATAATTGTAATTGGAACCTCAACAAAATGACCTTGAAGGACGAGGCTACACCTCGAGAAGTCTTCACACCCCCAAAACATCCGAGTGCTACTACTACATACGTTGCCAGTGCTACATATTTAGATATCTAGAACTGGGAGTGTTGTACTCGTTTATCGTCAAAATGGTGTACAAAAATTAGGATTTGGTGTCGGTTTTTCAAATTTTATTGTCACGTCAAGGAAACACTGCATAGATGTTCATCATTCGATTTCGATTCAGATAAACTTTGTCCCCACAGCAAACGTAGAACTTAAAGTTGCCTTTGTCGTCTATACCATTATATTTTGGAAATAATCCCAATATTTTCTCCCGTTTTAGTAAGTTTTATTTTTTTCTAGTATTCTATTAAGATCTTTAAAGAATTTAATATTTTCATTGTTTGTAATGCAATACGTTTGACTGCGTTTTACATTTAATTCATTGACTCTGACAAGCCCCTTCGCTCGAGGCCAATCAAGAGGTACTCAGATGATCGATTTGTAAAAGTAAAACGAAATTACGTTTTCAAATTACTTGAAAAGTTCTAGTTACGTACTGAAACAACATCACGTAAGAGGCTGTTAATCAAAATATTCTCTACTTTAGGAATTATAATAATTTGCCTTTTGCTGCGCCAAGTAGAAGACAAAACAAGAGATTTTAATTGACATTCCAACTCGCTACTTTTGCAACAACATTAGCAATACAAAACCAATACACAACCTAGAGAAGTTTTAACAACGCAGTTTGCCTGTTTCTTATCGGCAAAGGTGTATAAATTTCTTTCTTTTTTGTTTTTAATTTCCACCTGCAGTCAGAAGTTAACTCATAAACCCAGACAGTAAATGTAGAAATAGGGGAAGGAGGAAATGGCTGGAAAGAAAAGGCAAGACATCTCGGCTGAACATAATTGATCGATATCAACAACATAGGGGGTAAATACGAAACCAGTGCTGCTGAACTATGGAGTAAAAATACCGTCTCATCAAAACAGGCACGTTAAGAACGTTTATTAGGCTTCGAATAGTCGGTAGAAGTTTAGTACGTTTTTATAGCTTGCGCGTGTTGCGTGCTTCATTAGGATGTCAAAGACAACAGCACGGAGGGTAGTGGGCATATCTGTGATCAACTACTTTGCATAAATTTCATTGTAAGAGAAGGGGGATTTTATGACTTTTGGACAGCTGTTATTTGACGCTTTGTTGATATTAATTGAAGTTTGTTTTTTCCTGTGTTCTTTTGTGCGATCTATCTAAGGATGCACCAACGGAAGCGTTAAAGCGATCTATATCAAGAATTACATTTGGTTGCCATTGAGTGATATCTGAAGCCAGGGTAGTGTAGGTTTTCGAGAATCCATAGTAAAAATAGGATTGCGATGAATTCACTTTAAGAATAACTAAGGCAGAAAAGAAATCCCTTCAGAAGGGTAGATTTGCGTTAGTCCGCAACATTTTATTTGTAGAATGCATTTGATTTAGTTTCCGAAACAACGGTTGATTCTGGTGTACAATGCTTCTCGTGTTTTCTATGGAAAGAACCCTTACGACCCTCTCTTCAGAGCATCTCAACTACTTGTATGACTAAATTTGCTGTTGAATCCGCCTTTCATGAAAGCTTTTAATCAAGACAATATCTACTTAAGATCAGAATTAAACATGCCGAGTAGGAAGAAAATAAGAGATCGATCTTTTAAAATTGACATTGTATTTAGCTAACAGCGTTATCCATACCAAAACAATACATGATAACTGCCATAATAGCAGAAAAATTTTAACAATACCGGATTTATTATTTCTCGATGGTTGCAATTTCATCGAGGTCGGAAGGGTGTGAGAATTTAGTCAAATCTAAAAACAAACAGTCCACCTGCATTCAATCCGAATTAAACCCCATATAAACCTGAACAGCAAATAAAGAAGTAAAGGACTTAACCAACAAAAGGTAAAACTGAGATGGTAGGAAAGAAAAGGGAAAACGTTTGGGTGAATATGATTGTTTGATGTCAACCATATGTGAGGCAAATAAGAACCTAATGCCGTCGAACTACGGACAAAAATAAGTCTCTCATCAAAACAGGAACATTGTAGGAGGTTTATTACACGGGCTCCGAATAATCGGTAGGCGAAGTTTAGTTTTGATAGCACACGCGTGTTGCGTGCTTCATTAGGATGTCAAACACAATTAACAGCACCTTGTGTAAACAGCATTATCTATATTTCATTGTAAGAGAGGGGGGATTTTGTTTACTTTTCAAAAATCAAACAGGGCTCTTGGAGAGGTGCTTTGTGATACTCAATTGATATCAGTGTGAGTGTGTTCTCTCCTGTGTTCTTTTGTGAGATCTATTTATTAGGTTACAACGGAAGCGTTAAAGTCTTTATACCACCAGATCTATATTAAGAATTACATTTGCTCACCATTCATTGATGTGCGAAGGCTGGGTGGTGTTACTTGCGGGTAAGTTTCGAGAATCCTTAAAACAAAAAAAAAAAACAACTAAAAAATTGTGTAGTGGTAATAGCATTGTGATGTATCTATCCACTGTAAGAATAATTAAGGTAGAAGAGAAATTATTTTACAGGGATAGATTAGTGCGAAAGACCAGTTTATTCTGGGGTTCAACTCAATCCAGTGTGGTATACTAGATAGCCGTGCCGGCTTGTTGAAAGCCCGATTAAGTTAACGCAGGATTAGCGAGAATTTTGATTTCAGTTTTATAACTTTTCCGTTTATATTGTTTGTCCTTCAGTTTTAAGTTTGAACAATCTCAAACCACACAAAACGTAAGCAATGAAAAACATTTTTATACAAGTTAAAGTGATGCTTTAGTGTTTAACTTTAATCCTGGGCTGGCGTTAACCGGCTTTCGAAAACTCGGCAAAGGCCTTAGCCGAAACATCGGCGAAACATCGCCAGAAAAATCATGAGCTCGACTCGAAAGCCGGGCGGGCAGTGTTCCCTCATAATTTTCGAATGCATCCAAAGAATTATATCATTCACATAAATAAGGAGCCTTGGTGTATCCTCTGAAAGATGTTTCACACTGATTAACCTGGCATGAAAGGTTTATTCAGGTTTTTGGGAAAATATTGAATTATTCAAAAATTGCAAACAAAAATTTAGCGTTTGTGTCACACGGCATGCCAGAATCGCCCGGAAAAAAGCTCACTTGGAGCCTGGGCCTCTTTTGTAGTGTTTGGAACGAGACCACCTGTACCAGTGGGGTGTAATCGAGTACTAGTCATTAATTCAAGATTGTAATGCGACGAAAATCTACAAATACAAAGGAAAGCTTCAAAACTGGGAGACACACAGGAAAAATACAGGTGCCTGGATGACCTGCCGACAGCCTCCTGCCGCCGTCACAAGTGAAAATGGCTATATAAGTAAATAAAGTTAAAAGCATGTTAATGGTATTTGGAGTGTTAGTCACGGAAGTCTTATCTCGACGTGGATTACATGCATTTTCTTTGGCACCAGACATATATTTAGTAGAGAAGAAGTCTAATTATAAAGAGCTTGAGCCCACATTCCACATTGGTTATTGAGTTTTCGTCCGTTGAGCTTTTATTTGTCTGTTGTTTTCGTCGTCAAAGCTAAATTTACTACCAAAAAAATCCCTGAGTGATGACATTAGGGTTTTAGGAAAACGCGAAAGAAAAAAGAGAGTCAAAATATCAGGATGAATGAAAAACGTCTGCTTTTTCTCACATCCACATGGCTTTTGACGTACACTGCACGCGCATTATGGACTTAAACAAATTGGTGACATACAATTTAATTTTTATAATAAGAAAGCATGGAAGGAAAATATTTTCCATCCTTTTTTGTGTTCGTGCATAGGAATCGTACGCGAAGAATAAACTTGTTCTACCTTTTGTCAAATTTTGTTCTCCCAATAAAACGATCGATGAACCGAAGTGATCTGTCATTCCACGAATGTAATCTTTGATGCTTCATCTGTTTATTTACATTTTTATATTTAGAACATGTTGAAACGAATTCCTAGTTTCCCCTTAAACGGAATTGTGCAGTCACACTCTTGACAATTACATGGGTGCTTTAACTCGATTTTATTGTAATTGCGATTTATGCCGTGAACTTACTACTGCTGTTGCTGGATGTTGCAAAAAGATTTGCGAGCGCCAACAAAATCCCTGTTATTGGCTGGCTAAATTGCATATGAAATACTAACCCAGGCGGAAGATGAAAGTCTCGCAAGAAATTAATTAAAACCTAAGACTACAGTTTGCTCTGAAATTAAAACTCTTGGTTATTTTCAAATGTATTCAATTACCAAAATGTCCTTCTGCGCTTATATTTGCGATTATTGTAAACAATATCCTTTTCTTTCACGCCTTAATTTCAGCATCCATTTGGTACGATGTTTCTTATTTGTAGATATTGCTTAAGGGAATAAATTGACTGAGATGAGCGAAACAATATTTCGTGCTTTTCGCAATCGAGAGTGACAGCCTTTCAAGGACAAATAATGCGCGGGCTAACTTAAGCGTATATCGACTTCAGTCCCTAGTTATTGAACTCTTATGAAGTCTGAGTGGTTTGACGTAGCTGACAAAAGTTGCATTACCCCTGCGGTAATATTGCTGACAATAACGTGGTTCAATTTGTATAGGTCGTGAAGTGAGTCCGGAGCAAAATGTCACTCTACAGTCAACGCATGGAACCTCTCTCATTGTACAATTTATAGTTTTACTGTTTTGAGGACAAAGCGGAAATTTGGGAAGGAAATATTTACAGTGTTCGGTCGATAAGCATGCGATATCCATAAAAAAGGACAACGGCTTTAGCTGGGAGACGTAGAAGATGTATATTTACGGGGAGTTTTCTTATCTTCAGTATCGGATTACCGATTCTAACTGATGCACTCCGAACATTTATTAAACATTATGACTTTGATGTCCTGGAAAACACTTACGAGCTTCCCACCTTAAGGAAAGGCTTCTAATTTAACATGTTTGACAACAATAATGCAAGCAACCAGACTGTTGACTCGATGGTTGGCGATGATGCATGCCCCGCACATTTCACTACAACGGCCGAGAGAGTCGGTAAACTTATCGCCTACATCATTATATTTGTGATTTCCTTGACGGGGAATACTCTAATTATTTACGTGGTCCGTAAAAGCAAGAACATTCAAAGAAACGTGAATTATTTGATTTTAAACATGGCTGTATCGGACTTGTTCACACCAGCGTTTGTAATTCCCACAAAAATTGTACAAATCATTCTAGATATCGGCGACGGTAGGTGGCCCATAACTGGACTAGGAGGACAAATAACGTGCAAGATGCTTTACTTTGTAAAAGATGTAACACTGCCTGTCTCTACTCTGACGCTGGTTTTAATAGCTCTTGAAAGATATGTGGCTGTCGTGTTTCCCCTCCGCGCCAAAAGAATCACATCTAGACTGCGAGTGGCACTGATCCTGTCGACGTGGATAATTAGCATAGCCTTTCATGGTCCTTACTTGTACATCTTCAAAGTGGTTGAACATGATTCTGAAGCGTATTGTATTGCAAGTTGGGAGCCTTCGTTTGAAGAGCCCTCGACCGGAAAGTTTTACGCCACGTTTCTTTGCGTTGCGCTCGTCATAATTCCATTCACTCTTCTGGCGGTGATATACACGATCATTGTACTAACTCTGGTGAGGCAAAGAAACGCCTTGAGAGGCGCAGTTCGCGGAGGGGTTATTCGCGACAAAATGAACAGAAATGTGCTAAAGATGGCAGTGACAATCGTCGTCGTGTTTGCCATTTGCTGGGCTCCGTTTAACATTTATACTTTTATTTTGATATTTGTGTGGAACTGGCAAGCTCCTAGCTGCGTGCTCCCTGCTTTTCCATTTATAGCTGAATTTTTTACCCACGCCAACAGTGCTGTAAACCCGTTCATATATTTCGGCTTCGTGGAGAATTACCGTCGTAGTCTGCGAAATGCTCTAAATGGCTCCATCCTACAAACAAGTGTTCAGGAGGTCGAGAATAGGTTGAGTTATCGTCGCGACACGTTCGAGCTCACGACCATTCGTCGCCAAAGAGCGCCCACTTTAGAAACCAAAGCTGCCGGAATTCTTATGACCTCGTCGAAAAGACTAAATATGAGATGCGAAAGCGAAGGAACAATTGTGGAGACATTGTAACTGACTGAACACCGATTCTTATTCCCGAACTAGAGTTAATCAGGCTTAATATAACTACTCGGAATCCCGATCTCTGGAACTCTCGAGATTTCAAACCTTTGATAATTCAAACCAAACGTCATTTCCCGAACCCTGCAACTTTATCCCCGATTTCTCAAATTGATCGATTTTTTAAAGCAATTTTCGTTTTCCTTGGAGTTCGAAAAATCGGGATTCTACTGTATCTTATACCAATAAACCATTGCTTAAATATTTTAAGGGTTTTGTGGAGGCTTTATTTCCTGAACGAGTATCCTTGATGAAAGTTGTTTCGTTCCAAAAAAATGGTCGAGTCTAAAGAGTTTTTGGTGCACTTAACAGTACTACATTAATTATGGAAGGTCTCTGGAGAAAAATGACGAGGAACGGAAAACAGGTTCTGCAGTCGTCTCTACGGAACATTCTCAGTAATCTGGGAATTTACGATATAAAATACAAAGTCAATTCTATGGTTGGTGGCTAACGCTGGGGGAAAAGTTAAAACATATGCTTTAAGTACCTCAAGCATTTTACTAGTCTTATCTCAATGTGAATATATCGAGGCTATCTTTCAGTTCGTGACAGCTTATCAGTATGCGGGGAGTGTATCACATTAAAAAGGAAAATAAATCACAAAAATTTAGAGAGGAAGCCACAACAGCCTTAGCTCACTTTCAAACGGGGCGTCTATCCCGTTTGAATATGGGGAGCAAAACAGAAGAGCACCGCCAAACAATTACAGCACCAGGCCTGAATCGCACCCACGCAACACTGGTGGAAGACTATAACTCTCTGGGCAAGTGGTGGGAGACGAGCTCTCTTGTCAACACTGGAGCCGGGAGAAAAGCTCTCTCAGTACTGTGCCACCATCCCTGCTCACCACAGTTGAATCTAGTCCTTGCTGCCATAAGCCTTCCGTAGTTACGTGGTAGAATGTCCATCCAGTATGCAGACCGATAAAGCCAATCCTTGTTAAAATATTTGCTACGTGAGCACAAACGATTACGTTTCTGATTTAGCTACAAGAATATGTGAAAAAAAATTGTATGGGCTTATTAGCATTTTTGTCACCAATAAATTCTGCAGTTTTTTAAAGCCGATATCTCCTTCAATATTACTCCCAAGGAGCTGAAGCTTTTATCATGTACTATATTTCCCTAGCTCTTTGACTCTTTGGAATCCATTCTTATCGAATGAAAATGTAAACAATGACATCAGCAAGGATCGTCATATATTCCACTCCTAATGGTGGAACTCGAAATTCTTCTCACGAGAGGATTGCGTTATTCATTGATTGCATGTAATGTCTGTCTCATTCTATGACTTGTTATGAGACAAAATTCAGCGAAATACAACAGAGTTACAAAGACCATCCGATAAGCAAGGTACTTCAACAACTGTCAAACGGAGCGGGCGACGTTTTTGTCAGAACATCAGCACAGACGTTTTTTATTAGTCAGCCGACAGTCATCAGTTATAAACATGTGTCGCAACCAGTTTGGCTGTCGGTTATTAAAATTCACTACTTCTTGACACTCAAGTCCTGTCAAATGGATATCATATGTATATTTGCTGGGGCAACTGAGCACTTTGCAGCTTAATAGAACGTTTTCAGTAAAGAAAAGAGGCGCTATGTTTACTGTGTTCACGTTATTACCAGGTCACATGTAATTTACTTTACGATGACTAAGAAAATTACTTCATTGTGAGAGGCTGAGAACAGGCCAATTTATCGTTAATTCTTAATTTGCACTGCAGGGCAAATTAACGTGCACGCATTCGCAATTTTCTTGGTCGTATAATAAATGTGTAGTCCTGTGAGAGCTCGAGCAATAGGCCATGTTCCATATATCAATATTGTAACATGGCTCCGAGGCTTTCAGGTCAAAATTGTAAATTTTGTATCTAGACTTAGATACAAAGAAAGCAACGCCAAATAGAGAAGTTTGTCCAGAACGCCTCGGAGCCATGTCAGAATATTGCAATATCGTATGTGGCCTATTAAGGATTTACACTAGTCGTGATATTTGACAACTCTTTCAAATTACACTCGCCCAAAAGCTCTTTCAATTTAAGAGAATTTTTCAAGTATCACTCGTAATGTAAATCCTTAATTGCGCTCGCATTCAAACAATAACCTATACTACTTTGCACTTGTGCATGTGTAGTCCCGTGGCAGAGTTCTCGCAAGTTCTGCAAAAACAGCGGGCGATCAGTATCTAGTTTAGTGTTTAGTCTCTATGATCATTTTCAGCGTTTGGGGTACAGTAACGAGACTCTATTTGCCGCAACAGAGCCTGTCTCAGTACTTAGTAGACACTTGTAAGGATTACAATAAAAATCACAACAATAAAACATCATTTTTTCTCTGCTGGGTGGCTTTCAATGTTAACATTTGCTGCTATTTATTTTTGGCCCACCAGTGGCTTTCTCCGTGAAAAAAGGAGCTGAGACGAGGGTTAAAAGATACGTGACCTTAGATGATTTTCCAGAAACTCTCTTCCATCAAAATTTGTACAGATAAAACAAGACAATCCACCCGGAGAACGACTTTAGTGGAAGGACTTTAGGCTTTTTGTGTTAAAAAAGAAAAAAAACTCTGATAACCCCTCACTTCTTTTCTCATTCTTTTCCCACCACTTTATTTTATTCACTTTTTCCTAACTTTCTATTTTTTTTATTTATTTATTAAAAACACTTGTAATTAAATCTTGATAGGCTGGCCCGCCTAGACTAGCACTAGCTATCTGCAGGACAGTCCAACTGTGAAATAAAGATTAATCGATTGATTGATTCAACTCGGAGCAAGCTTAGCATCTTGCAAAGGACGGACGGGAATGGAGAACGGTTTTGATTCTATGCGGCACCTAAAGGACTGATATTAAAACGCTAGTTTTCCTGTCTTCTTTAGAAACCGCACGAACTTGCGCTCCTTTGCTAGGTAAGTAGTTGACCAAAAAAAGGAGAACTGATAACGTGTGAAAATATCGTGCTTTGTTCAAGTCACAGTGTGTAGGTGACTGTCTGTAAATAAACAATTAACTTTTCGGTTTCTTGGACAACTTTAGCGATGGACTCTCGCTCGAAGATCAAACAGCAGTTGATTGTTGTTATCTCTCTTGGAGGCATGATCAATTAAGATATATATTTTTCTAAAGTCATTAATAATTAATAAATTGCTGTAAAACACGTCTACTTTAGCTGAGTGTATTTTACCGCCGGAGTAGGGGAACTTCGATTAAAGTTTTCCTGTTGAAACCGGACTCTCCATGGGGCTCCATAAATCCTTTACCCTACCACGTCCTCAGTTTTTGTTCTTTCTAGTCCTAGTTGCAACACTCCTCCTCATGTAAATACACAACTCGCAAGCTCCTTACCATTTAGGTCACAGTTGAAGCATGTTTTCCATCTGCAAACCGCACGTACTACAACATCTAAGGCATTCCCAACCCTCGTTCAATCAGTCAAGCAATCAATCAACACTTTATACACGTTGCGCCTAAGAGCTACGTAAGTTTGATCAAAATTCGAACGAGTGTGCAACAAAAACAAATTAACAACGTATATCCTAGAGTCCAACGCAGTGACTGATTGATAAAATCGTCGTTGATCTGATTGGTAATGTGGTAAATGATCGATTTCGCAACACCTTTTTTGCCGTACTTTTAAAAATGAAAAGAAAAATGCTTCTGCGATGATGACAACGCTGAAGAAAAATCCCACCTAGGTTCGGGAGAACTTTGAAGTCCTTGTGAAAACGCACGCTGCTGCTATAGGATACCAGTTGCGTTCACACCGACTTTGTAAGTTTGCACGGAGAACATGTAAATAAAAGCTGTGGGAAATCAATAAATGCATGGGAAATCAAAATAAAGGCAACACGCGTTAGTTGTTAATAACAATTTTCATTCTTAGGTAAATGGAAATTAAAGAGGTGACTTTATTGAATATCACTTTTAATTTTTTCTGCGTCGAACTATTATTATTATTATTATTATTATTATTATTATTATTATTATTATTATTGTTAACTGCAAACACTTCCATTTTTTTTTGTTACAAATATTTAATCATTCTTTGTTCAGTCGCACGGGGACAGATCGATACATATATTTGTCATATTGGTCATCTTTTTATTAACGTAGAGTTGACAGAAGAAGTTTTAAAAACTGTCATCTGATGAAAGCCTTTGATTACGTTACTGCAAATATTTGGTTTCAGTTTCCAGGGGGTAATGAATTTCTTCTTTAATTTCAAGTTGTTCGCGGAGAAAGCAGATTTCTCATATAGTAACCCTGTGGGTTGTCCAGTATCAATTTTCTCTCTATGTTTTCTTTCCTCATATTGCATTCTTTATCGTTCAAATTATCGCCCGAATTGATGAAATCACCACCCAACTGTTTTATTCGTTTAGATCACGTGGATAATATTCTAACGCTTCTAGTAGGGCTTTTATTTTCAGGACAAAGTTCTCTGGAGGAATAAAGATCAATAAATTTCATGTTCATTTTTGAGTGAAATGGCCACTGAGACGGGACTGAGTAGCACATGTTTGGTGGTATAGAGCTGTTTTGCTAGTTTTCAAAGGACCACTTTGTTTATATTAGTAATGTGTCATTATGTTACAATTCTTATTAACAATCGAAAAGAACAATTTGGTTTCTAGTAATCTTGGGTACAGGCACGTACTGATTGCACTTCACCGAAAATATTGAATCGTGTTTCATAAATTGTTTAGAATTGGACGAAATTTTCCATTCACACGTTGGGGTGGGGAAAATTGAGAGGAATTCGTTCGAGAGCTTAAATGATTTGGTATTCAGTGCAACTCTACATGCATGATTAATTCTTTAAATTGTCTTTTAAAATGGTACTGATTTTAACAGATAACGTGTTTTAAGAAATTTAATTTCAGACTTGAGATAAAAACGAGAATTTTGTTTACTATATTGGTAACTAAGGCCATTAAGAAATACGAGGATTAAATGATCTTTGCTGATCCTTGTCAATTTATATATAATGTGCAAAGTACAAAGATTGTGTGAAACAGCCTACTCGAAGATTTGGAGTGAAGAAATTCTTTACAAGACTACAAACACACATCGTAAGCAACTGAATCTCTCTTTATTGTCTACCCCAATTTTTCTGTATAATTTATACTCACTAAATATTTTAGCTTTAGCGTCTTAAATTTTGCATGTTTAAAACAAATGACGCGTACAACTTGTGCTGCGATGTATTTTTCATTAAAAAAGCAAAACAAAAATTGTCTGCAGTCTATTGGAAACAAAAAAATGGCAGCTGTCAATTAAAGGGATACATCTTTATAATAAACACCACGTGGATAGGAAACCCACGAGAATTAGAGAATTATCTGGCAATGCTGCTGTCAATTCTAAAAGAATTTACGACAAATATTTACAGAAGGTACTGCCAAAAGAGCAGCTTCAAAGTTGAAAAAAGCTTTAGTGTTTTTTTCTTATAACAAAAGGCCAAGGATTTGCACTTTCCCGATATCTAATCCTAAATGTTACTACTACTGTTTTATGCAAGAGAAGCTAGTGTAACATCTCTTTGCTCATCTGAAGACATGCTCTGCACATTCCACGATTGCCAACGCAAAAGGCGAAAGCACGAACAATTGCATTTGCCCGGGCAACAACCAAACAAACTCTTGAGGCCTTCACGGTAATTGCCACTGAATATAAAACAGATACAGGGGTTTATGGCGCAATTTGCATAAGCCATAAATATGGCAAAAAAACTAAAGTGCAGAAACCCACAGCTTAGTTTAGGGTTTTCCTCCCATACAAAGAACTGCAAAAACGCCAAGACATTTAAGGGTGCCCAACATAATGCAAATCCCAAGACAATAGCCAGAACCATCTTAAGCACGCTCCTGTCTCTCTTCATTCGTTTTTCCTGTTCCTTAGAGCTCACCGATTCTCCACCTGGTATCTTTTGAGCCCTCAGTTTCACAATAATGATAGAATAAAGTACTGTCATCAACGCGAAAGGGATAAGAGCTAAAACGAGGAACAGTGCTACGTAGTAGCTTTCCAATGAAGAAGACTCTCCAAAGGCTTCCTTCCACATCCGCCGACAGGCAAGGTTTTCTCCGGATCCCTCAAGTTTGCGTACGAAAAAGTACGGGGTGTGAATGGCCATAGCCACGATCCACGTCGCGAGAATGAAGAATGGGCAAAGCCTGGCGCTGACAACCGGGGGTCTAAAAGGGAAAACCACAGCTCCAAATCGATCCACTGCTATCAAGACAAGGCTCTGGATAGAAACAGCAGTGGAAACGTCTTGCATAAAGTAGGCCAGTTTACACAACGCCAAGCCAAAGTCGCCATCTATGAGCCAGTAACCGACGTACAACTCTGTAAGAAGACGCGGAAAGGCAAAAACTGGGAGAATGAGGTCGGACATGGCCATGTTTAAGATTAGGTAGTTGATCGTTCTCCTCATGGATTTTATGCCGATTACAATCGCTCCAATGAGAAAGTTGCCAGTGAGCGACACAACTATGATAACACAGTAAGCAAAGGTTTTACCGATTTTTTCTGCAGTGGGGTAGACAGAGCAATCAGCTGGAGGCACGGTAGCGTTACTGGGCGTTGTGCTCACGTTTGCCATCCTAATTACCAGGTTGATACTCGCCTATTTCTCCACAACTATTCTCGTTTGGTTTCAAAAACCCTGATCGATCGCAACTGTAAAGAATAATCGTGTGGCAACCTATTTGCGCGCGGGTAACTATAAAAGGAAGCTTCTGTTCGGTTGTCAAAGTGCTTACAAAGTTAAGTCAATATTGGTTTCCGCCCATGTCAAACAATTTGGGATTAAAATTAAATCGCGTGCTAAATTCCATCTGATGGACGCTGCGACCCTGATAACATATAAATGCGCTTTGCTGAGAAGAACACTTACAGTGGGAGAATGTTCATTTTAGGGAACTCGCCGCCTGATTCTCGTCCTCTGACCTTAACTAAGCCGTTTTCTTATTTATTGTTGGTTTTTAAACGATTTACATTATGTCGTTTTCTAGCTTAGGGGTAGTGAAACTACATCTACATTTTAAATTGTGTTTACCTAAATGTAGCCATCTCTTTAATTGATTTGACAAGAGCGTAATCAGTTTTGTTCTCGGAGTTTACAAAAGGTCTAAAATTGTTCGCGCTTACGCAAAGCTGTAAATTGAAACAGCAGTTTACAATAACCATTTAAGTAAACCTAGGAAAGGAGAGAGGTGTTTTGTTGACATTTCACGAATTTTGGTCTTGAGGTTACTGACGAATATTTATTATGAATGAATACTTCAAAAATTTATTACCCTGAGGTTTTGCACTTGTACTTGCCACAAAGTCGTAGAAAATATTAAGTATCTCTTCCATTCCACTCGTGAATCAGAAGGCTTGACGAATCGGTCATGCACTTTGTTTCTCGCAACAAAAAACAATATTTTAACAGCCATTTTACAAAAAGCAAGACATTTTTGGGAAATGCGATATTAGTTCAAAACGACCGACCATTTCAGCGAAAGCTGCTGTGTAAAACTTGCATATGGGATTGTCTATTTTACACCTATGCATAACACCCACGTATGTGACGATTCAAATTAAAGCTAGGGAACGGTACTTTCATGTGGATTCAAAGAAAAAGAAGTATTCTGCTAACTGAAAATTGCGGGGAACGTGTGGCGTATGGAGAACAAAGAACTAAAGCCCCCAGAAACCATATCATTTCAGTGTCCTATTTGTTGTGCTGTTTCCGCAAAGATAATTAGAAAATGCACTTCGCTTATAAAAAGACAAACAGCTCAAAACGCCGGTTGTTTGTAAATTGTTGACGTTTCATTGGCTAATTGACCGCTGTAGGTGTGACAAAAGCGCTGTACAGATAGGCTGTACCCTAATTACTATGTACTGGAATCAAACAGTCACACAATACAGTGTAATGTATTTTGAACCATTTTAGAAGACACAAGGACTAAATTTATACCCAAAGCCTACCCAATACCGTCATTGATCAATTATTGATGAGTGAGAGCGTCTTTCACTGCAGATTAGAGATCTAGGTTTTATTAAATTTCCGNGCTAGTTTTCAAAGGACCACTTTGTTTATATTAGACATGTGTCATTACATTACAATTCTTATTAACAATTGAAAAGAACAATTAGGTTTCTAGTAATCTTGGGTACAGGCATGTACTGATTACACTTCACTGAAAATACTTCACTGAATCGTGTTTCACAAATTGTTTAGAATTGGACGAAATTTTCCATTCACACGTTGGGATGGGGGAAATTGAGAGGAATTCGTTCACGTGGATCGAGAGATTAAATGATTTAGTATTCAGTGCAACTCTGCATGCATGATCACTTCTTTAAATTGTCCTTGAAAATAGTACTGATTTTAAAAGATAACGTGTTTTAAGAAATTGAATTTCAGACTTGGGATGAAAAGGAGAATCTTGTTTACTTTATTGGTAGCTAAGGCCATTAAGAAATACGAGGATTAAATGATCCTTGCTGATCCTTGTCTATTTATATATAATGTGCAAAGTACAAAGATTGTGTGAAACAGCCTCCTCGAGGATTTGGAGTGAAGAAATTCGTTACAACACTACAAACACATATCGCAAGCAACTGAATCTCTCTTTATTGTCTACTCCTATTTTTCTGTATAATTTATACTCACTAAATATTTTAGCTTTAGCGTCTTAAATTTTGCATGTTTGAAACAAATGACGCGTACGACTTGTGCTGCGATGTATTTTTCATTAAAAAAGCAAAACAAAAATTTTATGCAGTCTATTGGAAACCACAAAATGGCAGCTGTCAATTAAAGGGATACATCTTTATAATAAACTCCATGTGGATAGGAAACCCACGAGAATTAGAGAATTATCTTGCAATGCTGCTGTCAATTCTAAAAGAATTTACGACAAATATTTACAGAAGGTACTGCCAAAAGAGCAGCTTCAAAGTTGAAAAAAGCTTTAGTGTTTTTTTCTTATAACAAAAGGCCAAGGATTTGCACTTTCCCGATATCTAATCCTAAATGTTACTACTACTGTTTTATGCAAGAGAAGCTAGTGTAACATCTCTTTGCTCATCTGAAGACATGCTCTGCACATTCCACGATTGCCAACGCAAAAGGCGAAAGCACGAACAATTGCATTTGCCCGGGCAACAACCAAACAAACTCTTGAGGCCTTCACGGTAATTGCCACTGAATATAAAACAGATACAGGGGTTTATGGCGCAATTTGCATAAGCCATAAATATGGCAAAAAAACTAAAGTGCAGAAACCCACAGCTTAGTTTAGGGTTTTCCTCCCATACAAAGAACTGCAAAAACGCCAAGACATTTAAGGGTGCCCAACATAATGCAAATCCCAAGACAATAGCCAGAACCATCTTAAGCACGCTCCTGTCTCTCTTCATTCGTTTTTCCTGTTCCTTAGAGCTCACCGATTCTCCACCTGGTATCTTTTGAGCCCTCAGTTTCACAATAATGATAGAATAAAGTACTGTCATCAACGCGAAAGGGATAAGAGCTAAAACGAGGAACAGTGCTACGTAGTAGCTTTCCAATGAAGAAGACTCTCCAAAGGCTTCCTTCCACATCCGCCGACAGGCAAGGTTTTCTCCGGATCCCTCAAGTTTGCGTACGAAAAAGTACGGGGTGTGAATGGCCATAGCCACGATCCACGTCGCGAGAATGAAGAATGGGCAAAGCCTGGCGCTGACAACCGGGGGTCTAAAAGGGAAAACCACAGCTCCAAATCGATCCACTGCTATCAAGACAAGGCTCTGGATAGAAACAGCAGTGGAAACGTCTTGCATAAAGTAGGCCAGTTTACACAACGCCAAGCCAAAGTCGCCATCTATGAGCCAGTAACCGACGTACAACTCTGTAAGAAGACGCGGAAAGGCAAAAACTGGGAGAATGAGGTCGGACATGGCCATGTTTAAGATTAGGTAGTTGATCGTTCTCCTCATGGATTTTATGCCGATTACAATCGCTCCAATGAGAAAGTTGCCAGTGAGCGACACAACTATGATAACACAGTAAGCAAAGGTTTTACCGATTTTTTCTGCAGTGGGGTAGACAGAGCAATCAGCTGGAGGCACGGTAGCGTTACTGGGCGTTGTGCTCACGTTTGCCATCCTAATTACCAGGTTGATACTCGCCTATTTCTCCACAACTATTCTCGTTTGGTTTCAAAAACCCTGATCGATCGCAACTGTAAAGAATAATCGTGTGGCAACCTATTTGCGCGCGGGTAACTATAAAAGGAAGCTTCTGTTCGGTTGTCAAAGTGCTTACAAAGTTAAGTCAATATTGGTTTCCGCCCATGTCAAACAATTTGGGATTAAAATTAAATCGCGTGCTAAATTCCATCTGATGGACGCTGCGACCCTGATAACATATAAATGCGCTTTGCTGAGAAGAACACTTACAGTGGGAGAATGTTCATTTTAGGGAACTCGCCGCCTGATTCTCGTCCTCTGACCTTAACTAAGCCGTTTTCTTATTTATTGTTGGTTTTTAAACGATTTACATTATGTCGTTTTCTAGCTTAGGGGTAGTGAAACTACATCTACATTTTAAATTGTGTTTACCTAAATGTAGCCATCTCTTTAATTGATTTGACAAGAGCGTAATCAGTTTTGTTCTCGGAGTTTACAAAAGGTCTAAAATTGTTCGCGCTTACGCAAAGCTGTAAATTGAAACAGCAGTTTACAATAACCATTTAAGTAAACCTAGGAAAGGAGAGAGGTGTTTTGTTGACATTTCACGAATTTTGGTCTTGAGGTTACTGACGAATATTTATTATGAATGAATACTTCAAAAATTTATTACCCTGAGGTTTTGCACTTGTACTTGCCACAAAGTCGTAGAAAATATTAAGTATCTCTTCCATTCCACTCGTGAATCAGAAGGCTTGACGAATCGGTCATGCACTTTGTTTCTCGCAACAAAAAACAATATTTTAACAGCCATTTTACAAAAAGCAAGACATTTTTGGGAAATGCGATATTAGTTCAAAACGACCGACCATTTCAGCGAAAGCTGCTGTGTAAAACTTGCATATGGGATTGTCTATTTTACACCTATGCATAACACCCACGTATGTGACGATTCAAATTAAAGCTAGGGAACGGTACTTTCATGTGGATTCAAAGAAAAAGAAGTATTCTGCTAACTGAAAATTGCGGGGAACGTGTGGCGTATGGAGAACAAAGAACTAAAGCCCCCAGAAACCATATCATTTCAGTGTCCTATTTGTTGTGCTGTTTCCGCAAAGATAATTAGAAAATGCACTTCGCTTATAAAAAGACAAACAGCTCAAAACGCCGGTTGTTTGTAAATTGTTGACGTTTCATTGGCTAATTGACCGCTGTAGGTGTGACAAAAGCGCTGTACAGATAGGCTGTACCCTAATTACTATGTACTGGAATCAAACAGTCACACAATACAGTGTAATGTATTTTGAACCATTTTAGAAGACACAAGGACTAAATTTATACCCAAAGCCTACCCAATACCGTCATTGATCAATTATTGATGAGTGAGAGCGTCTTTCACTGCAGATTAGAGATCTAGGTTTTATTAAATTTCCGGTATATGCTTCCGAGACGTGACATTGGGTGGGCGGGAAGCTCAGTGCTGGTCAGTGGAATTAAGCAAATTGATAGGCGCCAGGGACGACACCTATTAAAAAATAGACGTATATTTTACCCTCGAATTTTGCAACTGTATGAATCTGCTCAGTACGCCATTCGGTCTAAACACTTGCTCAAACTAAATATGTAATGCGAGCGATCAATTCCAAAAAGAAATAAAAATTTGTAGTTGTGACCTACGTTCTCCAAAATATGCAGAACTTGGTCATTTCACGTTGTTGCTTTGCAAAGCACGACTACGAAATATACAAAGATTTAAAAGGCACGTGCATAACCATTGCTTTACTCATTTAGCCTTTTGCTTGGTGACGTTTTCGTTGCCGTCTTTGCCGTTGCTTAAGCCCCGTCCACACTACGCCGGAAGAATTTGAAAACGGAGGTTTCACTCTGAAAACGAAGCAAATGTTTTAAGTCCACACTACGCCGCAGAGATTCGAAAACGTAATAATCACCGGTCATTTTGGATTTGGGCTTGAGAAAAACTCGGTCAGGAAAATCACA